ATCCTCTCCTTTTGCTTTGCTTTGAATGAACAATCACACAGTTGTGCAGTTATAGAAAGCCAAGACTCCAAATTCATGACTGTGACATTCTTTCATGTGTTACACACCTATAAGAAAGGCAGCATTCTTTTTGTAAATTTTGTAAATTTACAATGATTTGAATTTGATAGTCTAAATTGTTGTGTGGATAATCTTGTTTTGTGAAAAAAACATTTTTTTTTTTCCATTTCTGCAAAGAATAAAAAAAGAAAGAAAAAAAAAACAGTCTTGAACTTCTAAGACAAGTATTAACTTACAAATAATAAGCCTAGAGTCCAAGGAGTTAAGAATCTTTAGAAGTCTGATGCTGGTATTGTTTAGCTATACCTTTTAAGTATATTTACATAAATACATGTTTAGTTACACAGTTATTACATTGTTATTATGTTATTAGAAAAGTTATATGTTACTATTAGTTATGTTATTATTATGGATATAGTAGTAGTTATAAGAGGAAGGAACTATGGGCCCATAATCAGGTCATACTTTGTTTTGGAGGTTACAAGGTCCCACACTGTGTCTCTAATAACTCTGTAATTACAGATGAACAATACATACAGTAATAATATAACTACTAGTGATATATTTACAGTTACAGATGGATTGCTGTAGTACAGCTTGTGTAAATGCACAACTGTATCAACCATTTCTCATGTAAATATCTTAAACTTTGAAAGTTGTAACAGCATATTTACTATTATGTAATTACATATGTATAGCAAAGTAAGGGTAATTGCATGGATTAATACCAATCTGTTTCACAATCCTTGCATAACATCTTCTAAAGATAGATAAACATCTAATATTACTGTACAAATATAATTACATTACAGAATAAAGCCAGAACTTTCGTTGCTTTGTGTCATCAAAGTGTACAGCAAGCTCAGTGTTAGGAAAGTTGGCAGTGCAGTGCAGTGTAAGTACTCTTGTAATGTAGCTAATTACACGTCACAATCAGAGTCTTGTTGGAAAAACAACAGTTCACTCTATTACATGTGCAATTACAAAAGGGAAAATAAGTTGTTAAAGCTACCAACATACACTTGAATAAATGCTGATGTTGATACACATGTCTGTTTATATAAGTTGTACTACAGTAATCTGTCTCTAACAGTGTTTATATCACTGATTACATTGTTATTTCATGTTTTGTAAATAAATAACTACACAGTTATGACAGGCACTTAATAGAAAGTGGCACCGACTGTGTTCATGGGATAGTGGATCAGCACAGTGGACTGAAAAGACAAAGCTCTTAGCAAAAGGGTGAAAAAAATGAAAGGTATGGGGAATTCCCAAACAGTTGTTTTGAAAAAAGAAAAGAGGAATGCAGTAGTCCGGAGGTCACAGCCCCCTGAGAGGGTCACCGCGGGAACAAGGGCCGTGCTGTCACAGCCGAACACATGGCACTGCTGACAGGCCTGAGCTGATCCTCCTGTGAGCACACATGACAGAGGAACATCGCCAGCTCAGCAGGCGGAGTTTCACAGGTGCAGGGCATGGACGACTGTTGTGATTGAAGCGGGAAAGCAAGTGACCTGTTAGTCAGGAATATGCCACGGAAAAGCACAGTACCACAGCATTTCTGGAGCTAAATCCAAATCGCCAGAAGCACTGTATAAAATGATATCTTGGTGTAGTGTAATTGTCTTAAGTGTAGTAAAATCTAAATTTCCTTGTAATTGTTATAAGAATGTTATAAGATTATGTAAATCAGCCCTGTAAGATTTTTGTCAATATTGAAAGAAGTAGCATCACTGGAAAAAGTCAGGGTGGAAAAAATGCTAAAATATGATGTTTGTATGCTGCCGTAAGTCGCCCTGCACAGTTCAGTCATTTTCTTTGTTTATATATCTTCTTTTTGAGCTCCAGACACTTGAAACACTTTGTGGTCGGAAGTTACAAATGTCAAGTAGGATTGTTCCACTTTGTCTGGACATAGTCTGGCTTTGCTGTCTGTGAAGATCTTCCGGGTCATTAAATAGTTCAGTAGTAATGAGTGACTAGAATCTATCTAGCTAGCAAGCTGTCTAGCAAGTGAGCTATCAAGCTAACTGCCTATGTTCTTTGTCTGCTTCCCTTAGGATTGGGTTCTGGTCCTGTTGAATAGGTTTCATTACTCATTTCTGTGCTGGACTTTACTGTCTGGTCTTCGCTGTCTGGTGTGAATGAGAAACGCCTGCTAACGGCCTGTGTTTAGCTGGGCAGGGCGGGGTTTAGAGCTGCTTTAGGCATGACAGAATAACGTAACAGTGTGTCATGCAGTGCTGTGGCCCAGCGTGGGTGCCTCTCCCCGTGCTGGGTTCTATTTCTGTGTGTGCAGCAGATGTCTGAGGCCCAGGGGAAAGGGCGACAGAGTCAGCAGACTCACAGCTCTGCCCTCGCTGGCAGCTGAAGCCTGGCACAAACCCTGCTTAGCTTCTTCAGGCTAGGACACTCCCAGGAGGCTAATGTTTCTGTTGCACAAAAGAGGCAGACTCTGGATTCCCAAAATGACTTCATAACGTGAGCAAGACTTCTGTCAGTTAGAACTGAGGCCTGACCAAAGTATTGCTTGGCTGATAAAATTCAGAGATATTAAGATTCCACTGATTTATTGACAGTAGAGGAAATTCTGTGAATGAAGTACCAGCAATGTCTTTTATATAAATTACATATGAGGAAAGACAAAAAAGAATTTCATGCTATTCTGAGGAACAGACAAGCATATAAGAGGATATTTGTCTGAGAACTGACAATCACACTTGACACCTGATCATATCAGTCACTAAAGCACTGTTTATCTGAAACTGTTGGAGTTGTTTGATTTTTGACCATTTCAAAGTACATTGGCTGATATGATTGTCTGGGTTTTTGGTAATCAAAATCAGTCTTGGTGACAAAGATGTCATGGATGGACCCTAGTTAGAACTGTTCTCTGGTCAACACTCCTGCACTTATCCCCTTAAAATCCCACCAAGGCTTATTATTCAGTATCAAGGAGTTTAATACAAACTGGCTGACCTATTCTTAGGTTATAGAAGTGTGTAATATAAGTTGGGCCCTGGCAATTTAAAGGGTTAAACAGTGCTGTGTTAAAATGTCAGCGAAAACCATTCAGTTATGTAATTTCCAGTAAAATTTACAGGTCATTGCGAGTACATTAAGTACAAGTTATTACATTTTCAGGAAATATTTCTGGGGAGATTAGATATAAGATAATCCTCTTACATAAGAAAAAGTTAAAGGAAAATAAGCAGAAAAAAACAGGAATTTCCAAAACTGGGGTTCAAAAAATGATTAAAAGCTACAGTGAAAATGGGACTCGTAACCACCGTGCAAGACCTAGTAGACACCAACACTGTCCCCATCAGATAACCAGCACTTGAAGCTTTCATCTTTGAGAGAGAGATGTAAATAAAGCTGCTTCAGATCTGTAAAAATCCACAGGTGTTTTTGTCTATCCTTTCACACGATGTTTAGCTGTCAAGAAGCTGTTACTGGAAAAAGGAAAATAGCAAAACATTTGCAACCGAACACTGAAACTGGACATCTGATGTGAAGTAAGGTTTTATGGACTGATGAGCCAATATTTCTAATTGAAATTACTTCAATCATGAAGTAGAATCAAGAATTTTGGAGGTGTGGAAAAATATCCTTGCAGAGTTCTTGAAAAACTGAAAGCAAGTGGCCTGAAAAGAATGCAAGCTGTAATAAAGGCAAAGGATGGACACACCAAATACTGAACACTTTCCAATTATATTTAGTCTTGTAATTTTCTGTTAAATACATGCTTTCTGCTGAAAAATGCATAATGTACTTGATGGCTGTTTTGACTGTGAATGAAGGTGGTCTGTGAATTTTCATGTGTAATGTTGATGAGGACAAAATAGTGTCAAATCTGAAAATGTAAAGTTGTCTTTGGGTGCTATTTCACATTACAATGGCCTGCATGTACCTCCCTGCCATGAATATATGTTTTTAAAAACAAACCTTTTAGGCCAAAACTTGTCGCAAGACTATCATAAAAAAAGGGGTCTTAGGCATCAGGCAGTGTATTTGTAACCGTTTTAAGTAATAACTTTCTGTGAGGGAACTTTTGGAGGCAATAAACACTTCAGATGTCTGGTTCTTATCACTAACATTGTGAATAGTTGAGACTCAGTTTCTCTAGAATGGTGCATGTCACATCATACCGCTCTGAACGACTTTAAATTGTAACTATTTCATGATGCAGAAATTTTTTAAATTGGTGGAATTCCCCTTAAATGTCGACTTCCTGTAAACATACTGTGAGGTGAATTAATAAAACAGGTGTGGTAAACTCTTAGATGTTTAATCTGATTCCCAAAACACAGTCTGATGTACATTTACTGTATTACTAATGCATTGGAAAATATATACTGTATTTAATGGATTGAAGTGTGTGCATCTGTCCCACGTGAATAAAACATCAACAAAGTAAGCAGGCTTAAACTGAGCAGCAATAAATGCTCTTATGTAATATATTTAATTCATTTGAAACTGATGTACACATTTGAATCAAGCGCTGAAGCATTTTTTTCAGCAGTGCAGCTGTGTGACCACAGCCCAGCCTTAAATCTTGATGTCTTTGTCAAATAAAGTGTGCTTTCACCTCGAGGACCCAGCCGAAAACCCATTTCAAAGCTAAACTGTTTGTGCCACATGGAGGCTGAGCCAGTGCTGCGTTTGTACAATTACACTTTATACATAAAATCTGTTTAGATGAGCGCTGCCCAGTGCAGGGCTTTGGAATAAACACATACGTTTTACCCTTTACCATTACTCTGGATAATATGCTTTATTTTGACAACTGGTCTATGCATTTGGGTCACTGGTAAATGGTCCATACAGCTACGTCACCCTCAGAACTGAGTCAAAACAGCAAGGTGCACATCTATTTGCAGTCAGTTCTCAAAATTCTTTGCAAATAACGAATGTTATGTCTTCTCTGCTTTCAGATTTTGACATGAAGAAGGACATAGAGGTGCTGATAGCAGAGGAACGTGCAGAGATTATCTCTAAATATGATAAGGTAAGAAACACTGTTTTTTAAGTTGAAAAAAAAGACAACACCACAAGACGCTACACTAACAGAGCATGAATTTCAAAGATTCCAGAATACTTTATTTAAAAAAGCAAGGAAGCTTTTAAAAAAGTTTATTGAAAAAAAAACATTTCAAAAACCCCACTAATGTCTGTCAGTCTGTATTTCTAACTATGAAAGTGGGAAAGTGACTGGAATGAGAAATTAATATGTGCATTATCATAATGCAAATTGCCAAATAATCACTGCTTTTTATCTCCTTATTACAAAAAAATGTACTAATCATGGCAGCCCTACACTATTTATACACTTTATACCATTTATACTCATTATACTCTTCATACTGTATTTACATTTGTAAACAAATTACAAACTTGTAAACAAATTACAAACCTCAATTCCAAAAAGAATTGAACAGTATATAAAATGCAAGTAGTAACAGAAAGCAGCGATTTGTAATCCACTTTAGTTGTATTCAAACTAAAACAGTACAAGATATGTAATGCTTCACCTTATCAACTTCATGTAAATGTATACTTATTCTGAAACTGATGCCTGCAATCCATTCCAAACAAGTTGGGACAGGTACAGTTTAAGACTAGGAACATTAATTGGTTGTAAAAAACATGTAAATGCAATGCTTGGGTGTAAAAGCAGCATTCAGAAAAGGGCCAATCCGATAACACATCAGTGAATACTCCAACAGTTTAAGAACAATGTTCCTCAGCAGGCTATTTCAAGGATATTAGTTATTTCCTAGGATTTTAGCTATTTAGTTTATTCAGATTCAAGGAACCCAGAGAAGATCTTTGTGCATCAGCAACAAAACTGAAAACCACATTTGAATGCCCATGCCTTCAAACCTCAGACGGCACTGCATTGAAAACCTGCATGCTTCCATGATGGATTTCACCACATGTCTCACATAAAAAAATGTGGCTTTATTAAGTGCAAAAAAAAGCAAAAAAAAAAAGAATAAATAAAAATAAATAACAAGAAAGGGACAGTTGCATAGCTGAATTGGTGAAAGATCACACTTTCAAAATGACTCTAAAGTCCTCTTAAAAGAGATGTGATGTACCACATGGTAAACATGCTTTTGTATTAATCATTTTTCGAAAGGTATTGCAGGCATCAAATTTGAAATGAGCGTAAATCTCCAAAAAGATAAATAGAAAAAATGTAGTTCATAAAGTAGAACACCAAATATCGTTTTTGTACTGTTTTCAATTTAATACAGTTCAAACTGAACTCACTAATCTTTTTTATCACTTCAAATACTGTCCCAAAATTTTTTGGAACAGAGGTTTTTACTTACTAACATTATTATTAGAAAAAGTAACCACAGTAAACAGTGTTTGATTTGGATTTTTTAATGTATCCCTGCAGGAGAAGGAGTTCGCTCATTGTTGATCGTAAAAAACGTGATCAGCGCTCAAGGACAATACCTGTGGCCATAGCTGAAGTTCGTTTGACTGTTGTGTTTGCTTGTGTGTGTGTGCTGTGAGTGGCAGTACAGTGTGGGCGCAGCGTAGGTGAAGCTGTGCAGTAGCCTGCCATTGCTTTGTTTGTACAGTGAGGTTCGTGAGAGCTTTGGGCACAAATGTTTTAGACTCATGCTGTGGTTGTCGCTCACTGTCGCTGGACTTTTGATCCAAAAATATCCGTGTTAAACTTCTAGAAGCATAAAGCCAGAGGTGATGAGGTGTATGCTGCTGGTTTTTGGAGTTTTTAAAAGTCTCATTGCCTTGTGGTTAGTTATCATTTGCGGGAGCATTTGTTGGGAGGGGTTGAAATACCTGCAAAACATCCCCATCCAACTCCATTTGATCTTATTCCAGAGCCATCATTGGTGTTAATAAGTTGAGTGTTTCACTGGCAAATGAGTCTGGTTGATTGTCTTGAACAATATATGTGTTTGTGTTTTTTCCAGACTTTTAACTTGCTGTGCTATGATTGCATGTAAAAGACTTTGGGATGCATGGCGTCATTTCTGATTATGCCATCTTCAACATTCAGAATACATACCCTAATAAACATGTTACACAAAGGTCAACTCAGTGTTTTTTGTGCTTTAAGTATGTAGTACTCTGATGCTTGCTTGTTTGCATGACGAATCCTAAATTGCATTAGCATGTGCTTTAATTCATGTTTTCATAAACAAAAGCATAACCATAGTGCCCAGGGTGGGCACTATTTTTCATTATTATGATAAACTATGTCACAGTATGCTTTCTTAATGGACTGTGGATATTGTCAGTACTGCAAAGGGAGAATAATTAGTCCTTTTTAATTAAGTTTGGTGCAGCACAGTGTGTGAACATTGATTGTCTTGGCTGAAGCTCTAACCTAACTTCACGACACACTGAGCCAAAAAAACAGACAATAAATAAAAAGAGTTAAAAGTATGTGCCACAAAATCCAATGTCCTCAACAGCAGAGGTGGCAGTCTAAAGCAATAATCTCTATTATTGTTTGATTATACTTTGCACTTTGGCACTGTTCTGTGTGACTTTTGTTTGTATTTGAAGGCCCATATCGTGGAAAACTTTTTTGAAATGAGCATGTTTGATATAATATAGAAACACTGTTAAAGCTTCAGACTGTACCCACTGTTTTTGTGATGTCATGCAAACAGATACGTGTATCCACCCATTCAGCCTACAGCAGTTTAGCTCTGCCCATTCACACTGAAGTTATGATGAGAGATTCAACTGAGACTCAGTCAGTTTTTTGAATCAGGCAGAATACAGCCAATCAGAACAAAGCTCATTTACATTTCAGTCTTAAAGGCACAGTAACAAAAACAGCCTATTTGATTCTAAGGCACAAAAAGTGGTTGGAAATTGTCATGTAAAAATGAATTATGACTACATAAACCCACAATGTACATACACGTACACAAACATTGTAATTGGGCCTCAAGGGAAGAAGTAAAATATAAAAACTGAGGCTACAGATGGCATTGGCATGCAAGGACTTTCTTTTCTGCTTCTGTGGTTTGCTGTATTCTGTGTATCAAGCAGGATGCTGTGTTTTCAGGGGGTATCTGACCTGTAGTGGTGAAGTTCTTGGGTGTTGTACCTCCTTGTGATACTTGGCAGTGAACAGTGATTACACTCTCTGCAAACAGGCCTGCGCTGATTGGCAGAATCAAACAACGTATTTAATCACTGTTATTCAAAGTCTTAGTTAATTATCAAAGTCTTAAATTTTGACACGTCATTGAGGTCCTGTTTAATCTTTCGCTCTTTTCCAGTCAAAAAATAAAAGAGAAAAAAGAAAAAAGGCAGGCGCCTTTTTTTCTCTTTTATTTTCGTTTAGGCAAATTTTATTGTCTGAAAATTTTGCTGCATTCCTAATAAAAATCTTTTTTATTTTTTTTTGCATGTTTTTGTTTAAACCCTAGACAAATCTCACACTACCAGCTATTCAAAGGTCTCCCAAACAGAGGAGAGGTTCCCCTTGGCACCTTTATTTTTAACATTGTACCACAAATATCTACAGTTTAGCCAGTGGTGGTGAATGCAGTAGACCGGCAAATAAATACAGACCACTGTAGCAAAGCAAAGTCTGTTTTGCACATAGACACCAAAGTGATTGATTGGGCCATTCTACAGCCATGGTGTGGTAACATGGCCTATTATAGTGCAATTGGAAATGGGAATTGTCTGTTCTTTTAGCTGTAGTGTTGTCTGTCTATTGCTTTCCTGTTCCTGTCCTGAGAGGATGGGGTCAGTCAGATGTGACCGACCTCATCAGCCCTTGCAACTGATCCACACAGACTGGAAAAGCTTTTAAAAACCTGATATTATTGAATGGAATGGAAGAGGTTCAGAGAATTTAGTGTGCAGTTAAAGGCTTGTGTCTCGTAGTTCTTCCAGAACAGTAAGCAGAATTAGGCAGCTACTGGGGCAATCCTTGTCTTTTTCCTCTTTTCCCCTCACTGACTTCACTAAGATGGGCACAGTGTTATCACTGAGAAAGCTGCCCCCAAGACACTTTTCATGCGTATGTTTAAGGGTGTCGTTGATAACACCTGCTGTCCTCTCGCCAGGGATGGTCAGAACAGTCCGTCTGATGGGAGAAGCTGAAAGCACTTGAGGATAAGCCATGAAAAGCTTTTGGAGGAAGCAAGGAGTGAGCATGCAGACAGCAGGAACCATCCTGATTACATTAAATCACTTGATTGCAGACACTTAAATGGCTTATATCATGGAAAAACCAATTTTGCTTACTTTTTTGTTTAAATAAGAGTTTGATGTAGTATGTAAACATTGTTGAAGCTTCAAAACATACTGTCCATTCCTCAGTCTATAACGGTCTGTATATGGAAACTAAGCTGCTCAGTCTGTTTTGAATTCCCTGTTTTTGTCATGAAAACCAACACTGGTGGAATCAGTAACTACAGTAGTTTAGCCAGGTCCATTCTCCTTGAAGTTATAAGGAGTGTTTCAGCCTGGACTGCTTTTTGAACGAGGCAGTTAAGATGTTGTAAGAAGGTAAAAGATCTTGCACAGCAACAGTTAAAGCCTGTGTTTTCATAATACAGATCATTTGGGAGCATTTTTTGTGTATATAGCATCTTTTAGAGCCTTTAGGGCCATGAGCTTGTGCTCATTGTTCAGACTCCAGCAGTCCTTGTCATGTTCTGCTTGTTGACCAAACATAGGGTTCTATAGCCGGATATCTCAGATCAGTTTTAATCTGGGATAATGTTATCCAGTGTTATCCATTATCCGTGCACGTTTTCCGATGGTGAACCATGAATATTAGAGCTAGACCTTCTGTCCAGGCCACAAATGTGAAAAATGGTGACAAAGGAGGAAAAACACCGCTACAGTAATGCTATTTTTTCTAGCACCCTTATGGGATTCTTGTAGTATGTTAATGTTAAGCTAACGTCGATTCACATGAACATTTTTTTGGCCGTCCTCTGTTACATGGGGACATTTGAAGCTTGTAAAATAGGTTCCACATTTTATTTAAAGCTTGTAACAGACATATTAACATAAATTTCACAGTTTTCCAGTGACTCTTTCAGTAAAGAGCCCTCAGTATAGAGCTGTTGAAGCTGAAGCACTAGTCAGGCTACCACTCACTAGCACTCAGTGATCTAAAAAATCCTGGAGTGACCTTTTTTCTTTTAGTTTGTAAGTCAAAATATGATTGATTGTAATTATGTTAGCATATAATCTGAAACACTGGGCCTTTAGTTCAGCTCCTGGAGTCCTAACCAGTGAGAGAACTAGCTTGTTCTGCATAAATACCACAGAGAAAAATTCCCTATTGGATAATTCCTAGTTTTGGGAGATCCATGCTTATGCATGTGCTTTATGTACTCTAACATACTTGGCTTGGTGTAATGCTCATCAAAACTGCATTTGGCAATTGGACTCAACAGTCATTTTTACTTCAGTTTGGCTATATGAAGTAGGGCTTTCAGAATACAAGCCCCGTCAGGCCTAACACATATGGATTGCAAATTTGCTGCCATAGAACTAACACAGATGCTGTTCATGCATCTCTTGACCCTTAACAACCTTTTGAACCTAAGATGTATGTATGTGTGTTTCAGGGCAGGGAGGAGGGTGTTGAGATCGACCCTTGGGAGGATGCAGACTACAGCATTTACAGATCCACCGATCGCTTCGGCTTCCTGCAGTAAGTCACACATTCTTTCTGAAACAGGGCCATTATTACAGCTGCTTTAACTGCTAAACTCAAAATTTAAGAACTTCTCAGCACATCTTGTTGCAAATAACATTACCATGCAACATGACATTATAACATTATACTTGAATGTTTACCTGTATTGTCCTTTTGTTGTTAATTGTTTAACATGTTGATGTTCTTTGAGCATGGGAAAGGCACTATATAAATAAATGTGGTGATGATGATGATGATGATGATGATGATGATTACATGGATGCATTAGCATGCATTACATTTGCAGGTTAATATTTTGGTCTGTTCCAAAGGGAATTCCTCTGATTTCTCCAAGTTTCTGCAGTAATTCAATAGTCAAAATGTAAACAAAGACATTAATAGTGGTTTGATGTGAAATGGTTTATTGTAGAGAATATTAGTGAAACAGATTTCATTTACAATGGTGGTCGCAATGATTATAAACGCAAAATGACCAGTGAACTTACATGAGCTCTCAGTTTTAACATGTAGTGTTGGTAGTAAAATGGTAATTCTCAAAAAACAAACAAAAAAAAAAACAAAAATTAAAAATACTACAGCAAAATTATCATAAAAAACAATGTCTCAGGCATCAGGTAGCATATTAAAATGATTTCATGTAATAACTTTATCTGAGGTAGCTTTTAGATATATTTATCAACACCACTGTGAGCAATTCTGACTCTGTAAGTCCCTCCAGAACTGCATTTCACATCAAACCTCTCTTAATGACTTACGATTTAATCATGCAGAAAATGTGACAAATTGATGGAATTCCCCTTGAAAGTACCATGCAGTGTGGATTGGAAAGAGCTGAAAATGAACACATTATGATGCAACACAGTAATAGTGTTAGATTAGAGACTGTTATGTAACAACCATGGCTAAGTGAAAATTCTCTTGTTTTTCCTCTCCAGCGAGGAAGAGCTCCCCACACCAACAGCGCTTGAAGAGAAGGTATGAGACACAGATAAGCCAAATTAAATATGTAATCATGAACAATACTGCAGCATACCTAATCAGCCTTACAATGACGGGAAACAAATATGGAGACATTTGTTTTTGTTATTTAATATACTTCATGTATACTTCATATACAATTCACACACATAGTGTCTTTTGACTTTATCTTTTGGCTCATAAATATGAGCAAAAAGGTATGTATTCACAAGCATAAACATAGATATATCCTAAACAAATGGATACAGAGAAAATGTTCATGTACCACAAATTAGTAAATTAGTACTTTGTTGTAGTGCTGTTATTGGTGAGTACAGCTTCTGGAAATCATTGGTAAGAAGTAATTCACTTTTTGCAGCAGTGTGGTTCAGGTTTGGTCCATTTTTCTTGGCTCTAATTATGTTAGTATATAATATGAAACATTAGGCCTTCAGTTCAGCTCCTGAAGTCCTAACCTGTGAGAGAACTAGCATGGCTAGTTCTGCATAAACACCACAGAGAAAAATCCTTATTGGATAATTCCTAGTTTTGGGAACTCCATGCCAACCCATCTTCAGTTCCCCAAGGTTACGATGGTCCCTCTGTTGAACAAAGTCCCCCATAACTATCCAGTGGTATTTAAGTCAGGACATCGTCTAAGCCATGCAAGCGCTTTCACCTTCTGTGTGAGAAACCAATCTGAAGTTATTTTGTATGTATGTTTGGGGTTGTTGCCTTGTTGAAACTTATCTTCTTCCTACATTCAGCTTCTTTGCTGATGTGATTAAGTTCTTCTCTAGTATGTCCTGGTACACCAGTCCGATCATGTTTCCTTCATTTACCAGTAATGCACAAGTACAGTTTGCATAGAAGCAGCCTCATATCATGATGCTCCCACCTTCGTACTCCACTGTGGGTTTCGTGTTCTTGGGATTGCATGCACAACCCTTCTTTCTTCAGAAATGGCGGCTGAATTGTTGTCAAAGAGTTCTATTTTTGTTAATCTTACCAGAGTACATTGTTCCAAAAGAGCTTTGATTTGTCTAAATGCTTGTGTGCAAGTTTCTGTTTCTTTTTTAGCAAAAACAATAGTGTCTGTACTTGTTTCCCCTCACTGCAGCTGCTGGAAACCATTGTGAATTGTGATAATCCCAAGTACACAAACACAAGTGCGCACCCAAGCTCACTTGCCAGACTCTAAGGCGGAGGGTCCTGATGACCTTCAGGCACGACCTTTTGCGAGTAATGGCTGAAACAGCTGCTTTGTCCGGAGGTGTATTCCCATGTAACACATTCCCTGCATGCTGGAAGCTGCTGTGTTTCTTAGCTGATCTGTGGTCAGTTGTAATCTGAGTCCTAGATGTTTAAAGGTAGGATTTGATACGCAGAGGAACTGTGCTCAGATCAGGTATAAATAGCATCAGGGTAAATAGAGCTGCATTTCTATCACCTTCAGTTTCTAAGCTGGGCAAGGCGCTCATGACTTTCAATACCTGGTAATGCTATTTACTATTTATTGCTATCTAATCTGATTTGATTTTTTTTGTACACGAGAGAAGCCCTTTCGTATTATGTTTTAGTCTATAATTAACCACTGGACAGATATAACCTCTTGAGCTGCTAGATTGCTCATACTCTTTATAAGATTTCTTATGTACTAATTGCATAATGGTTACTGAATAATGTATAGTTTTTACCATTAAAAGCCTTAAGATAAACCACTCAAATGACATTCTAAGACAAAAGGGGTGTAACGATTGACAAAATTCAATATGTGATTTGATACAATACAGTGGTGTCTCGATTTAATACATTTGGAAAATAGCGAAATAATAAGTGGCATTAACCCTTCACTTCTGTTCATTTTTCTTGTTCTAAATAAAAATCTGTGATTTGTCAGTTTTGTAAGATCACATTCTTTACATATCACATAATTGCAACAACAGCATTGATAAATCACATGATTAACAGAGAACAGCAAATTAAACATCAGAAAAAAACACATATTAGCTTCAGCCTAAAAAGGTTAGTGTGTCAGTCTTCCTATTGTCAGTTTATTAGACCATTCAGCATAAAAAAGTGCATTATTTGAAACAAAACCTGCTTTATAGAGTCCTTCTAATGCTCAAGCCACAAGCTAACATGCTTAATGATAAAATGATAGGATACAATCTGATATGCTGCAGTACAATTCGATACCATACTGTATGTTATAGTGTTACCTCTCTACTAAGGCATATTATTTAAAACAATACAAACTAAGTTATAGGACATTTAAGGTATAAGTGTATAATACGTTAACAAATTAAGGGGTTAAAATAATTGTGCAGTGTAGTCAGTGTTAGTCAGTACATGGCAAACTGCCTTTGTAGTTCTTTTCTTTATGTCGATACTGATGCTTCATTACATCTTCTTCTCTCACCCTCACAGCAAAAGCAGCAGGAGATCGAGCGGGTGCAGAAATGGCTGAAGATGGTGCAAAAATGGGAGAAGTACAAGAACAGCGACAGGGTGAGATTCAGCTTTAGCAGCTTAGGCTGTGCCATAATGTGTTGCTGATGTTAAAATTACATCACAGTGTGCTTTTCTAAGTCCGTCATGAGCATCATCAGGACTCCTAGAACACTGAACAGCTGCATGAATGATAATAAAAGACTGTAAATAGGAGTTGGCACTGTGGCATAAATACAGTATCAGGATGTTTTAAAACATTTGCACAATACTCAGCATGCAACACAATTTTTCTTTTAGAGCTTTGCATTAAAAAATACTATGAATCTATAAATGCAGTGATTTTTATTCATTTTATAACATACAGTGCTACAGTTATCAATTTAATTAGGCTTAATCATGCTCCGTTCTCAGAAAAGCGTATTCTGATGTAATGTGATACAATTGATCATGATATGATACAAATTGTCATATTGCCCTCCCTTACACGTAAACAGCAGCCACTGTATAATAATAATAACTGAAAATCATCCACCCTCAAACAGTAATTTCTGTAGAATTCCATGGGTGAAATGTAAACAGAGTCATTCAGGGCAGTTTGATGTGAAATGTTTAATTGTAGAGAAACTTACAGACTCAGATTTCTTTATAGTGGTGGTGACAGAAACCAGGGGTCACAATGTCTACAATACAAACGTAGTCATTTTATTCACTATCCAAAACAACCAGTGAATATACATGTGTCTTCTGAGTTCTTATGTGTAATGTTATTAATGGTAGAATAGTGTTAAATCTGAAAAAAAATAAATGTGGGTGTTATTTTTCCTTACAACATTCTGCAGGTACTTCTCTGCCGTGAACAGATTTAAAAGACTACTTATGTTTAGACCAGAACATTTTCACAAAACTGGTGTTTCAGGCATCAGGAAATGTATTCATGACCTTTTCATGTAATTACTTTCTGTGAGGGAGCTTTTACAGGCCTTAAACACTCCAGACATGTGGTTTCTATCACCACCACTGTGAACAACTCTCACTCTGTGTCTCCAGTACAGAGCATTTCACATCAAAGTGCTCTGAATGACTTTATTTACATCCTAATTATTTAATTATGTTGAAATTTTGAAAAAAATTGATGAAATGCCCCTTGAATTCAGCTTTCACCTTTTAGCTGTAAGGCAAACTGACTGTAGGATACAGACAAAACTGAGCTGAAAGAGATCAACATCATTATATCTGAGAGTCATTAGCTCTACACTGTACTGTATGTACATGTGTTAAAGACCTAACCTCTCAAAGCACACTGTGGCTGTTTTGCTCACAAAGCATGCATTTAAAGCACGCATTAAAAATGAAACAATGCTTTCCTCCCCCAGAGAGCCAATAAATGAGATGCACAATAGGCTCCAAAAATTAATGCAAAGCTGCTCATCTTATTGTAGCAGTGAGACTTGGAAATGTAAGTAAATTATGTGTCTCTAAGGGATACAAACTGCTACAAACACACTTATACTCCTCTCTTGTGTAGATGATGAAGAGAGTGTACAAGGGGATTCCTCTGATGCTGCGAGGCCAGGCGTGGAGCCTGCTGCTGGACGTAGAGAAAGTCAAGAAGGAGAATGAAGGAAAATACGAGGTATGGTGGAACACACACACACACACACACACACGCACACACACACACGTGTGTGTGTGTGTGTGTTTTATATGCTTTTTCAAGATTTAGGGTTGTACATACAGTACAGTACAAAAATATTGGGCATCTGACAAAATTCTGTTTAAAAACTATTTCATTGGGCAGCAAGTGTTTATTTGCTCAGAAAGACGCTAATATTAGGTTAAATACACATAACATTCATATAAAACATGCTGATTTAACGTATCCTCGAAGAAAGCCAGTATTATTTGAAATTATCGTCCGGTACCTAGTTTGGTGAATCAATCCATTATTAAATTAAATCAGACGCGCTGCAGAATTTATCTAATGGCTGCAATCTGGAACCAAACCTTTGTCTGAAAAGCTGCCTCCAAAGATACCAACTACTTTTTTAAAAACAAGAAAGCTGGCAATATGTACTGTGTATATATCTCTGCTCAGTACAAAACCTCGTATGTCCATTTTTCAGTTTTTGACATATTTTAATGTGTGTAAATTTAATGATGATTGGACCAAAAGAAATAACCAAAACATCTTGTTCCTTTGACCTACGTTAAAAGTAAAGTATGCTTTTTTCTCTCCATTTTGGACCATTTCTATTGGCCTGCTTATCAGCTAAAAATATATTGTATTATATACAGTCAGGTCCAGATATCCATAAAAATTGGGCATCAAGAAAGTTACTGTTATTTTTCCTGTTTACCACAGCATATTTGGAGCTGAATTAGCTCAAAGTGCAGACTTTCAGTGTTAATTTGAGGGGATGCACATTCGAACTGGGTGAACGGTGTAGGAGTTTTGAAGGCAGATACTTACGTCAGTTAATTTAAACTCCATTATGCTGTGTTAGACGGCTGAAATAACAATAACTACGTCAATGTCCAAATATTTATGGACCTGATTGTGTATGTCAGTACCTATGTGTAATTTTGATATGTACACCTCTGGAACACTCCTGATCAAATGACATGTTTTGTTAATTTTCTAAGTGAAAATAAGTCAACACATCCTCTACAGAAAACAAACTTAAATATGTCAATTTTCTATAAGTTTTAGGTTACAATTTTTACTTGTCTGCTGAGTTTAACATATTGGAAAACAAAACATAACATATTAAATGTGTCATAGCTTTCGTACAGCTGTATTTTAAATTGTTTCCTCAATATGTCAAATTTCAGCAGATAAACAGTAATTCTATGTTAAAGTGTACAGAAGTATGTTGTCTGTAGAAGATGTGTTCACTTATGTTTGCATACAACTCTATATGGCGTATATAAATATGTATATGTCACAAAAAAATTGTCTAATCTTAAACCTAACCCTAACTTTAACTTCAGTTGCCAAAAAGGAATTGTTTTGAGCATAAAACATGGAGCTTTTGTCTGTTGGTGCTGACAGTGTAGGCTAGCGCTGTTTTTCTTTGGTTGTCCTACACATACATACATACATACACACACACACACACACACACACACACACACACATGGTAGAGTAGCAGATGGGTCGTACTCCGATGAGGCAGCAGCACCTGGCATGCTGGTGCTGTGTAATAGCCTGTGCTAAACTGAGAGCAGTTGTTGCCCAGAGCAGGATTAGCAGAGTGATGTTTTGGGCAGAGGGGCTGTTTCAGAAGGATTAGTATATGATCTGAAAACAGACAGACGGTACAACAGACAGAGCAAGGCAAGAGATTAAAGAGAACAAAAGTCAGAAGCAAAACAAACCCGCATAGCTTCTGCACAGGTAGCAGCGATTAGGAAGGTTAATTCAAAGATCCATCTTACACATATCAGATCAGCTTAGACCTGCTGGACCCTTTTAACCATTTAAAATCTGCTCCAGAATAGTTGTTCCGTATGCATGCACACATTTGTCATAGTAAAATGGACCAGCATGTGGAATCGTAGCTTTTTGTGTGCTACAGTGTTTTCCGTCAAGCTCCATGCTGCCTTTATTTTTAGATAACTAAGGTAACCACACCATTTTTTATTTTGTTCATAGGTGATGTTACATATTCTCTCTTTCATTCACAGTTTTATGTCTTTACATCCATCTTTTTCACCTGTCCAGCGCTAAAGCAGCAGGCATCAGTAGCCTTCTTTAATAACAATTACGCTTCTTCTAGAGGACGAGACGGGCAGTGTACTACATACAACTACATATAAGTCTATAAACACTACATGTAGGTTTTTAGCAGAGGCTCTTATCCATGGAGATTTAAAATGGTAGGCGCATTTAGCGTGAGGAGTCGTGCAAAAGTAATTTAGCGGTATTACAGTAACATTAGTGGTCGTGTGGAGAAAAACTCTGGTCTCTCATGTGTTGGCCGATGTGTCCACTGACTGCAATGTCTTTAAATCAGTTACTAACGGCCACTCTATATGAATCAAGACCAATTATTCATGTTTTTGAATGTATCACTGTTTTTTCTGGACAGGTGTTCACTTTTCTTTCAATTCTCCACCATCATTCCCATTGAGATGCTGCAGGGAACGGTCATTAATATGGATGCTGCATTAAAAAATCACGTGACTGAAACAGATAAATACATTGATGGCCATTCTTATCCTCTTTCAGGAGAGCATGGTTGCTTGTCAGCAACAACTTACCTTAAAATAACTACATTTCTTGGTGAAATATAATTGTTAACCGCTCAAATGTTCAGGGCCTGGGTGTGTTTTATTACTATAACCTAAGAATAGCTCAGCCAGTTTGCGTTGAAGTCCCTCTTTCTAAGCAATAAGCCTTAGTATGTAATACGCCTGGGATATTAAGGGGTTAATGTTGATTGTTATTAATAATAACTTAAATTGTTTTTGGAAAGCTATGTATTTTATCATATTTAATGTTGTCCACCATTTTATAAAGTAAAAAGTCACTTGAAGTCATACATTATAGTTTTACCACAGATAACAAGGTTATACCTTGCCTAATAAAACCCTCACCTATTGAAAAATCACTGTAATGCATGGCCCCTCGTGGCTCATTGCTTTAAACTCCCCTGATTGCAATTATTACAATTATTTTCCACAGTTGTAGTGTCATAATCCTATGTTTACATCGCAAACAGAATGTGAATTGGGTGCGTTTTATAAGTTGGTTTGAGGCAATGCATCTAAATAAAAGAAAGCAGAAAACACATTTATTGACATGCATCATGGATCTCGTGGAAACAAAAGTTCTGACCGGTACTATAGCACCTTTATAGGGCAGCGGTGAGCGATGTTTGTTGTGTCTGCTGTTAGTCAGCTAGGAAGTACGATTATTAGCCAGTTAGCCAGTTTGGCCACTTAAGGCTTGTACTTACAATCAGCAAATAAAAAAAGACAGTTCAATTTTAATTATTTTTATGGCAATTAATTATCAGCTAAAATCTCTTGATTGAGATATTTAGTTAGATTATTACAGTGGACCATCCAAATAAAGCATTGCCAAATCTTTTAATGAAAATCTTGACAAACTACTTATCTTTTAATGAACAAATGCTGCTTTGTTTTTTTTTCATCACAGAAAATGAAAGAGCAAGCCAGGATCTACTCCACGGAAATCAAACAGATTGACCTTGATGTGAACCGGACCTTCCGGAACCATATCATGTTCATGGACCGATTTGGAGTGAAGTGAGTTGCTCACACATGATGATACTATAATGGGTCACTGGTTACCTGCATTCGTTAAACACAAAGTACATGAAGTACAAACTCTGCAGCAAAGTCACGTCCAGTTCAGTGAATAGCAGAGTCTTTCAGTCCATTCTTTACTCTTTCTAGCAGTGCAAAGCATTGCAGTGAGCTCAGTAGTGTGAACCTTAGCTGACCACAAAGTGAGGCACGTTGCACTCTTCCGCTGTGTGATATTTTGTGTGCTAAAGTGTGTGTGTGTGTGTTTTAATAGTTTTCCTGTCTAGTGTTGACTTACAGGAAACTATTTGAAGAGCTCTCAAGCACTCAGACCACTGATCACAGACTGAAATATGTTTCTGTGCAGGAGTGTGGTGACTGCAAGAGGGCCACAGTATATCATTTAATAGTTTTCGCAATAGAGGCATCTGCAGTACACAAACTAAGATGGGATAAACTGTAACAGGGACATTACATGTGGTTAAACTGTTTCCTATAGAATGCGCCTTTAGTTACCTTCTAATATTCTCATAGCAACATCATCTGCAAATTCTGAAAACAATCAGACAGATATTTCTCGAGATTCACCCTGAAGACATAAAGCCATAAATAAACTTTGAGCGTTCAATGTGTAGGTCACAAGACTCACACCCATATTATTGTAATCTTCTTCTTGGTTGCTGCAGTTTAGCACTGTTTCAAAGCGTGTAACCAGTTCGCAGTGAGAGCGTGACAAGCCACATGGCGAAGGTAGTTTTAACACTCTAAAAATAAGTTAACACATCCTCTGTAGAGAACACACTTATGAACTGAACTGAATTTAACATATTGGAAAAATTGAAATGTAAAATGTGGCCTGTGGTTAATAAAACATGAACTGTGCCATACATTTTCCACAGTCCATCCTTCCTTCCTGCCTTTCTGTCTTCCTTCTTTCCTGCCTTCTTTCCTTCCTTTCTGCCATCCTTCCTACCTTCCTTCTTTCCTTCCTTATTTCATTCCTTCCTTCCTTCCTTCCTTCCTCCCTTCCTTCCTGCCTTTCTGTCTTTCTTCTTTTCTGCCTTCTTTCCTTCCTTCATTTCTGCCTTCCTTCCTCCCTTCCTTCCTGCCTTTCTGTCTTCGTTCTTTTCTGCCTTTTTTCCTTCCTTTCTGCCTTCCTTCCTTCCTTTCTGCCTGCCTTCCTTCTGGCCTACCTTCCTTCCTGCCTTCTTTCCTTCCATCCTTCCTTCCTTCATGCTGACTTGCAAAATGACTCTGTCCTTTAAAGATTATGGTTCCAACTGTATACTCTAAAATCCATGAAGGGCAGCTTAACACAATACAGGAATTGTTTACACAGTTCTCCCCTTTAGCCGAATGCAGTTGATCGGACCAGACAAGTTTGTGGTCTGAAGGTGTTCTGGAGATTCAAGGCTGCAATTGCTAACTAGTAATAGAATAGGTTGCATGATGCTATTTAGTTGGCTACAGGCTTCCATTACTCATCAGCTTCATTATCATAGCTCCCGTACAGAATTTTGAAGCAAACATAAACGTCTTGGCTGATCGACTGGAGGGGGAAGAGTATTTGTTCTCTGAAGCTTACCCATATTTCTATTGATAAGTAAACCCATTACACGTCTGCTCTACAACAAAACACTTCATTTTCTCTGCTCACTGGCAACTCAGCCTTGTTGTCGCAGTGTTTTCAGGCGTTTCTCTGTTCACATTCGGACAGCTCAATTCTCGAGTGAGTGAGAAAAGTAGTGACGTCGCTGGAGGCTTAATAGATTGCAGGCCTCCAGAGTTCAGTGGAAAGTCTTGCACATCTAAAACATGTCATTTATGCGCCAGCATATAGGGAGGGGTTGAGTTCTGATTCAGCTGAGGGGAAAGAATCATGCTCCACCTAAAGAATCTGGCTTTCTGAAATGCAGAGCACTTTTTAAACACAGTGCTAGGAAATAGAATCTGTTGTGGGATTGGCATGCAGCAGAGGGGTATTTAGATATATTAGTGGGGTTTGTGTCATTAATAGACAGTAGACTGGCTCTGAGATTGTGGGCTACATTGCTGCATAACTTAATGACATTGTGCTCATGCTTTCTCTACAGACAGCGGTCTCTGTTCCACGTGCTCACTGCATACTCCGTCTACAACACGGTAAGACAGCCAAGCTAATGCCTGAGAGAGAGAGAGAGAGAGAGAGAGAGAGAGAGAGTAGCCAACTCTGATCTAAGAAAAAGCACATTATTCTTGAAGATGTGTAGAAGGTTTAGCTAGAAAGAAAGAAAGAAAGAAAGAAAGAAAGAAAGAAATCACATTAAATCAATGAATCAATGTTCAGAAGTTTGGAATCAGCAACAGGAATTTGAAATTGGTGTTCAGAGGTTTGGGATCACTGTTCAGAAGTTTGGAATCACCATCAAAAATTAAGAATCACTGTTTGAAAGTTTGGAATCACCATCAAAAATTCAGAATCACTGTTTGAAAGTTTGGAATCACTGTTCAGAAGTTTGGAATCACCAACAAAAATTCAGCATCACTGTTAAAAAGTTTGGACTTACTGTTCATAAGTTTGGAATCATCATCAAAAATTCTGAATCACTGTTCAAAAGTTTGAAATCACTGTTCAAATGCTGGAACAAGTATTTTTTTAAAACCAGTTTCATCACAGATAAACATATAAAGTGATTCGAATATAAGGGGTCCAACACATCCTGTAAATATACAGACCAGGAAAACATTTGGAAAACTAGAAAATTGATTAAATGTCATGAAAATATTATAGTACTGGAAAAGTGTAAGATTGGGCCATTAAATCCTTCAGATTCCATATTTTATTATGTTTCAGCTACTAATGCCCACTTGAAGTGTCCGTTCATAGGGATTATAGTGTAGAATGCTACAATGTTGCATGTGGACAGATGTGTGGTCATAAGGGGGTGTTTTGGAACACCTGGTAGAGCAGAGCTACATAAACACATGCCAGCTTCTTGCAACGTTTGATGTTCACTTTGAAAATTTAGTAGAGCTTGTGATCAAACAATGAGTGGTTGAGGAATGGTTTGTGAGTCAGTAAGGGGTCCTTAGGGGTTTTATTGTTGACTTTAGTGTTGGGGGTGTTGGCAGTCCTTATACAAATACAAATTTGTGATACAATACAGTCCTGGAGTTTATGCTGAAAAATTGTTTCCAGCAAAGGGTGGGAACCCTGAATATGTTAGTGTTGTTCAGCTTCACAGCTTAAAAAACAATAGATGTTTTAAATGTGTTAAAAGCTTTTAGAGCTTCAGATGATTTAATAAGGACTGAGAAAGCTGTATAACATGGCATCTCATATTTGGAAAGTGGTGACAATATCAGTGGGGAGAATATCAGTGTCTGATTTATTGGTTAGTTTTTTATCCCAGAATACTCAAAATATTGAATAAAACATAAATTTTACTGAGACGTCTTTTATTGTACTTAAAGTTATTAGTATGATGAGTGGTTCTAAATGGTGCAGTACAGTAGTGTGTATGGATTATTCTACCAAATTGGTTCAAAAGTCAGAGTTCAAAACACATTTCAGACTTTTACCTGACTTCAACATTAGATTAAAAGTCTTTTGCTCTGAGTGACCTTATATGTTAAAGATTTTATTTCATTAAAACAAATGATTGAACATTCCATTTTGTCACCAACAATCATAACCCTACTGAAACTCATTTCAGTAATGACTGTTTTGGTAGTGACACTTTTAGCTAGTTTTGAGCAGAACTGAAAAACTGGCCAAAAAAGCCAGTACACGACTAGCAAAAACAGCTTTGAACAGCTGTACACACATCAAATCTAAATATTTTTATTAAAACACTAAAACTTAAAACAAAGTTTAGTTAAGTTTACAGAAAATATGTGTTTCAGTAGAGACAATTTTAACATTACACACTGATTCTCAGATCAGTGCTTCCTGCTCTAAAATGCAGGGGTGTGGCTGAAACAAGGTTCCGCCTAGGGACTAAACTAAAATATGAATGAAGTTTATTTGTTTATTTTACAATTAAACTCATGATAAACATAAACATTTCAACTTTAAAATAATTCAAAAAGAACTTAAAAAAAACAATTATTATTTTACAAGTACTATTTTCACAAGTTCAAAAATGTAGGAGTTAGGGTTTGGGACAGCCACCTCCCAATAGAAAAGAAATGAATGATGATTTTATATATTTTTAGCATGTTACTATGCAATGAATTTAAACAGATCCTTTCATAATCCTTAAATATCCAAGGTATGAATTCTTGATTGTTTTTTTTTTAAATAAATCCTAGGAAGACTCAAAAGAGGCGTAAACAACTGTATTGGTTTACATAAATGTGATCGACTGACAGTGAATATTCACGTCTTTTTATATTAAGTGAATTTTTTGCACATATACATTATGTGAAAGAAAGAAAGTGCTGCTATGCTCGGGTCTAAGAAAGAACACATTATTGAGGGTGAACAGATTTCAGTGTCATGCCTTTCCCTTTGTGTATGTGCAGGAGGTGAGTTACTGCCAGGGAATGAGTCAGATAGCTGCCATTCTGCTGATGTACATGAATGAGGAAGATGCATTTTGGGCTCTGTCACAGCTTCTGACTGATCAGAAACACGCCATGCACGGTGAGCTCTTTTCATTGTCTCCCAGATACCCAGCAGCATATTGATATCATTATCTGGACTATGCAGCGTGTTTCAGGATGCAAAAACTTTATGATAATATGTGAGCTCTGAGAATGTGTCAGTTAGACTGAATGCAAATTTAAGATTCAGTTTTAATCATGGATTTCTTTGATTTTTTTCTCTCTGCTAGGCTTCTTTATCCCTGGATTTCCTAAACTGCAGCGATTTCAGAACCACCATGACCAGATTCTGTCCAAACTCATGCCCAAGCTGAAAAAGCATCTGGTAAGGTCACCTTTCACTTCTCACTATGGATACAAAATACAAAAGGCATTAGAAAATTGCCATGGCCTCTGAGTAAAAACATAAAAAAAGAAATAAAATAATGTCTCAGTGACTTTCTAGTATTTAGTTTTTCTTTTGCTCTTTTCTTTGGACATTTTTTTCATTGCCAGGACAAGGAGCAGATGTCCACTGGGATTTACAGCACTAAATGGTTCCTGCAGTGTTTTATTGACAGGGTGAGTATGCACACTGTGGGATGCTGAACCATCTGCTGTCATTTCTTCCAAATATACTGAAGGAGAAAAAAATGTTTTTAACTTGTAGAGTACTATTAATGTAATGTACACTTGTGCAAAAGTCAGAGACCACCCCTCATTTATTTAATTTCCAGTCAAAGTGGCCAACTTTTGCTTGCTTTGCAAACAATTTTAATCATTTTTTTTAACTCTAGTTTTGGAGACTCCTGTTTTAGCACTTCTTTTCTTTGACTTTGGCCCAATCCCAATCTTATTTTTACCCCTACTGACCCCTACTTGTTTTTCAAGTGTTACTTTGCTCCTTGGAACTGAGTTACAAGGGGTAGTGGTTGAAATGTTCCTCTCCAAAAAGGAACAACCCTCAAATAAAGAAGAACATTACTTCATTATCAGGCTACTAGCGGTGTTCTGTAGGCAACCCTGCCAGTCTGCAGTGATAGCAGAGGAGGGTAAAGTTCGGCAACCTCACTGCTGGTCTTCAGCTAAATTTAGGGGGAAATACGGCAATTATTTCTTATCACCCACCCCTAATTCTTCTGTGATATGAAGCTGAAGTCAGCTATTTGCCAGCTGCTTGTTCGAGTTTTCTAGTTTAACCTTAAATAGTGCAGCAGTTCTGACGCCTGAGGTGCCAGAATGTAACTGTTGCACTGTTTAAGGTGGAAAAGGAAACTAACCAACTAGCTACTGACACATCAGCATACTACTAATAATTTGTAATGCTTGTTATGAAGAAAAGGACCGTAATACATCAAAACAACATTAAACTAAGATAATACAGTGTTTTTTGTAATTTTTTAACTGAAAAACATATTAAATTGTTACATATAATAACACTCCATTTGGTGTGTGCCTCTGAAAAACCTCTGTTCGGAGGGTCACGTAGCCCTAACACTTCGCCATACACCTCACATACATCTCAACAAAAATCGTGACACCCTACACTAGGTGTGAATGAGCAAAACACGAGGGGAAAAAGCTAAGTGGTAGGGGCAAGGGGTGAAATGGGATTGGACCTTTCTCCTTCATTATGCAAGTGGATTATCTTGTATGTAATCTTCTCAGAAATATGAGTACACAAATGTGGTTCACCCTAGTAGTGGAAAAACTGAAATTTGAAAATAACCCCAGACTTTTTTTTTGGCCGTAACACGAGCTCATACATTATTGCCTGTCTTGAACTGTACTGGATTGTAATTGATTCTAACTTTCCAGAATCAGCGCAGTTGAATCATCACCCTTAGAGCACTTTTTACAGGCCTAACGATTATCCCTGAGTGTTACGACAGGCACATACTACACACGTTACAGCAGCGTTGAGTACCATTACCAAATGACTGCAGTACTATTTGTGAAGTAATGAAAATGAGGCGAACAGAAAGAAAGAGAGAAAATTAGAGAGAGATAATGAGAGATAATAAGAGATGAGAGAGCAAGGGGAAGAAAGGAGTTTTCATCTTTCTCTTCTCTGTGGGTCTTGTGGGTGGAGAAGAGGATGGATTGAGGCTGGAGCAGCATGTTATTAGCAGCGAGGCAGGGGACGTTTCAGTGCGATTAGTGAGCCAAGGCACAAAATCCTGCTGCCAGGGCTGCACTGGGGAGGGAAAGGAGGGGTATCCTGCTGAGCTTGGTGATAGAGGTGAGGCCACACATTGATCTGCATTTGCAGAAGTCCAAACCCTCTATGAAAATGAAATATATTGTCATATGTCAGTATAGTCGAAAATAGAAATAGGGTATATTGCAATATATTTACAATACAAATCATTCTGTGTATGGGGCTTTACTGCAGCACAGAGCTCAGCTCACAGCTCAATTTCTACATATACATAGAAGAGTCTCTACTATATTAATAATAATAATAATAATAATACGTTTTATGTAGTACTTTTTCCAAGCTCAGGTCAGTGGTTCAGACTCTCCTCTATTGCGCTAACCGCTTCACTACGTGACCACCTCTATATTGGGACAGTCCTCATCTAGCACTCATCAGGTTGCTGGTAAAATAAAATATGCTTCTTGATATCTGTTATGGGCTAACTATGGATTACTGGGTGTGCAAAGCCACTTTGGTAACTTATCCATTCACAAGATTGTAACATTAGTCAACTATTGTAATCAACTTAGATTGTAAATTCTTGTTGAATTGAATCTGTTTGTCTTTCATTTGTATATTTGTATAGCATTATGTAAAATGTTAGCTAACAGTAGTTGACTGTCAGTATCGGCTAATCATCAGGTCTCTGTGAAAGCCCCAAGTTTGCTATTTACTAAATGTTTAGCTAATAGGAGTTATCCGAGTCATGAAAACTTTTATAGCTTGCTGAGATGTCCTCGGAATTTCGTCCACCTTACCTGGTTTAGTTGTTTGTTGAGCCTGTCTACATTATTTGACAACATCAGGAGCATGGTGGTTTATTTAGTTTAGCTATAATTCATACAAATCACACACAGTGCTAATTTACTCATCGCCTAAGAAGTTAATGTTAGCAAACAGAAACGTACCGGAGTTATGACGAACTGTGTGAGCTTGACGTAATGTCCTACTGTAGTGCATATTTATAGGTAGAGCCCTACATAAACTGTGGGCAGGATATTTTGATAGCCTAAATCACATAAGGCTGAAGTCAGCTTCTTATTTGCCAGCGAATCTTCCCATTCCATCTTAAATGGTTCAGCAGTTACATTCTGGCACCTCAGGCCACTGCTCACTTAGGCACCATTTAAGGTGAACAAGATGCTGGCAAGGAAGCCAACGTCAGCCTCATCTAAATCACAGTGTAAGAAAATGCAACCAGTATTAAAACTACAGTTTGGATGTGTTGATAGCCAATCACCCTATCAACAAAACACTACATTTGGATATGAAGTGGGCGCTGGACCGACTTTCGCTGCCTTTGGGACCATCAGGGCCCCAATCTGCCCTTTTCATGGCCTGGATCCATAATCTTGTGCAGTTTTGGCAAAAGGATGTGATCCCTTTGAGATGTTTAACATTCTCCAACCATCTTTGCGGATAGTGCAGTTTACTGCACAACAACTCCTTGTCATTTTTGCTTTATGCCATGAGGAGCGATGCTTTCTGTTGCTCTTTGCCCCCTAGTTGGACGCACATCTCCATGATGATGTTGCACAGAAACCTGTCTTTTAGATACACTGTGCTGCTGCTACAGGTTACGTAATAATTCATGCAGTTAATCTACTCGGGTATGCATATATTTTATCTGTTATTGCATTGTGATGTATTTAATGTAGAGATAATTTAGTGAAAATCTGCTTTGTCTGGCTAAAAGCTTTGCTTTACAACTGTGGTTTATTGCCTTTATTTTTGTTTTTGCTTGCTGTGTCGCCTTTAGCTTTATACATGACTGGCATCTAAAGTTGTATGAGCAGTATGTATAACAGATTTAGTAGTTGCTACATAAATATCAGTTAGGAAATATGAAATATTTAAAAGTATTTTATTGCTATTGCTTTAAAACAGCTTGGTCTGCTATTTTTGTGAGTTTTGAAAAGGGACGTTCCGCTACAGAAGTCAACAATGGTATTTACTCTACCCTTCCAAGGGCTCATCTGACAAACTTCACTTGAGCTAATAAAGTAAAGGAACAGCCTTTTAGGATGTCGTTGGAGATTCCCCCGAGGGGAAATGATGAAGCCATGTTGATGAGGATATGTTAAAATGAGTGTTGTGATGTGCGTAAAAAGCCATTGACCAGCTGGTACTTATATAAATGGCAGTACTTTTTTCCAAATTCCAGCAGTGACTGAGGATTTTAGGGACGCACATATAAAACAAGTATATTCTACATAGTTGGAATTATCTTCTGAAATGTCCCATCCCACCTTAACTGGTGCCTCAGTTATATTCAGGCAGGTGCCAGAATGTAACTGCTACTCCATTTAAGGTGGAACAGAAATTTTGAACAAAAAGCTGGCAAATAATTTGATTTTAGCTTTGTAGAAAATAAAAGATGAAACAATATTTAGCACCATTTTTGCTGGGCCTGTGGCATAGGCATGGTTTAATTTCAAAAAGGGTTATAGTCCATTTTCAAGTGGGAGTGGGCTTTACACACACAAGAAATATCAGTGCTATATTACATTTAATGCTACCTTTATTAGAGTTAAAAGGTGTTTTCTATTGCAAGACAGCTGGTATTCTTTTCAAAAACTCCTTATATCCGATATTGTTACAAATGCTTATGCAGCATTTTGGGATGAAAATCTAATTAATATAATTATATATTTATTATATTATACATCACAGAATAATAAGCCACTGTGTGCCTGCAAAAAATAAGCATCTAAAATGGTTTTACTTGAAATATATAAATACTGTGATATATACCAACACTGTCAGAAACTTTAATTATACTGTGAAAAACATTTTTGGCCATATCGTTCACTACTGCTCTGGCTCTGTCTTGTGAGTTGCACTGAGGCCATGGTGAGATGACAAAGTTCTTCTTGACCTTAATCTTGATCTTCAAGTGAGACAACAAGAGAAAAGACAGCAAAAGTGATAACAAGTATTAAGATAACAAACAGAAAACTGATGTTCAACTGAAGGAAAACTATAGGTCCTTTTGCAAAATGTCTAAAAAAGGGAGAGAGCACTAGAGACTTGGCCGTAGAGCTTCAGTATAGATGTGTTTTTAATCCTAACCCATAAATGGCTCCACACAACAGATACTCCACAAAACTGCTTATAAGGGAGTCACACGTTTCTTACAGACTGACTTATTCCTTCTTACAGACCCCATTCACGCTGACCTTACGCCTGTGGGATATCTTTATCCTGGAAGGAGAGAAGATCCTCACAGCCATGGCCTACACCATTCTCAAACTGCACAAGAGTGAGCTGCTCTGTTGATCTTTCCCACTGCATCCACTGCTTACTAGTTGCTAAGTCTGCCATCAAATGAAACTGAAATCGCACCCATGCAGTTACAATAATAACCCCAGTGTCTGAGAGCAAATTGCTCGAGAACTTATTTGACTTGGTGGTGATCTTTTCAGAGCGCTTGGTAAAGATGTCGCTGGAGGAGCTGAGAGAGTTCCTGCAGGAGAAGATCGCCGAATCCTTCGACCTCAGCGATGATGTTGTTATCGAGCAACTTCAAATCACCATGGCAGAACTGCGTAAAATGAAGCTGGACCTTCCCTCTCCAGGTTTACCCCCTAAGCATTTGTTGCATTTGCAATTATGTTGTTGAAATGTTTCCTAGATAACCGAAGTCTATATGTTTTACAAGATATGGAATGTCTAGAACTTATCAAGTATATGTATTTCATTATCATCTACCTACTGTGAGATATAGAAAAAAATTACATGTTTTTAGGTATCCTTAAGGAGTAGCTTGGCAACAAATCAAACTTACACTCAAGAAGTCTATATATGGACAAATGAATGTCCCAACAGCAATAACAGCCACCTCGAAGCCAGGAATATTGTTTTTATGTCCAATATTATATAGTGTCCGAAACCACATAAGCAAGTCTGTTTAAGATTACTTAAAGGGGAATTTCACTGATTTTTCACAATTTCTGCAAAATTTATTCAAACAAAACATTTAGAGTGGTTTGATATGAACTGGTTAAAATTTCTTTACAGTGGTGTTGATAGGAACCGGGGGTAGCAATGTCTACAATGCTAATGTGGCCATTCTATTTGCTATCAAAAATGACCAGTGAACCTATAGATTTTATAAGTAATGTTCCTGATGTTAAAATAGTGGGAAAGTTTTCTTTTGGGACTATATAGCCTTACAACACCCTGTATGCACCCCTTCACCATAAATTGATATAAAAAATATGTTTTAGGTCAAAACCTTTACAAAACTATTTGTAAAACAATGTATCAGACATCAGGCAGCGTATTCGTAACCATTTCATGTAATTACTCAAGAGGTAGCTTTTTGAGCCAATAAATGCTTCAGATGTTTGGTTCCTATCACCACCACTGTGAAAAATTCTGACTTGATATGTTTCTCTAGTATGGAGCATGTCACATCACACTACTATGAATGACTTTTACATCTTGACAGTGTAATTATGCACAAATTTTGAAAAATCAATTTAGTTTCCCTTCAATTCAACATGGTTTGATGCAAGTGTGTAGTGATTTAGGTGTATAGTTTGCACAAAGCTAATTGCTAATTGCTTTCTGTAGTGCAAAACCAAACAAAAGACATGTTCTATGGCTGATTGGCTAGCATTCCTTTAAAGTATCCTTTAAAGTACTAGGTCATCTTTGTTCATTGCTGTTTTTGTTAATGGTGTTGGTCTATGTTTCATCAGCCAAGCCTGATGAGCTGCCGCGGAAGCCGCTGGGTCTGGAACTGCCTGTAGTGCTGACCCCAGTGCGACCCCCCAAACTCGGCCAAGCTGAAGACACCCCGGACAAGAGCCAGCTGGCCAAGCGGCCGCCGGCCTCACTCCACATCCACCTGGACCAGGAGTCCATTCTGCCTGATCAAACCTCCCCAGAAGACAAGCAGCCTTACCAAGACAGGGGGAACCTTTCGCCCTTTCCTTCTCCTGACCCGGTTCTGGTGCATAACCAGATTCCTTTTGCTCCAGAGGGAATGATTGGAGCTCCTGAAGATGGAGGGGAGCAGCCACCCCCATATGAGCCCCCAAGAAGTGGGGTTCCACATGGGAAGAACTTACCTGAACTAGACTCTCCAGACAAGCATATACATGGTGCTTCACCTCAGCATATTTCCCAAGACACTTCACAACCTGCAGGGTGCAGTGCAGAGGCCGATTCCTCTGTAGTGACCCCAGGCAAAGTCCCATTGACATTGTCTGTAGCCTCAGTGTCTCGTCAGCCCTCAAACCTCTCCCAATACGAAAACCACCCAGAGGCAGACTTGGGGGGGAAAGAGGAACGGTTGGTGGGCAGTTCGGCAGAAAAAGCTGCAGCATTAACCCGAAACTCTGAGGCTACTTTTAACCAATCACATTCGTCATCCACAGCTGGACGGAGGCTGCCCAATGTTCATTCAGACCCGCTGCTGGAGCGCCTGCCCCATGCCAGTCTCCCCAAATCAGACACATTTTAGGCCAGAAACTACTTGTTCATTAAATTATTTCTGCATCTTTGCCTTCTGTAAGGCACTTAGGGTTAGACATGATCAGTATCATTGTTTATTATGAGCAACAAAGCTCCATGATCTATCAAAGGGATGATGACTTTTGTTGATTCTAAAATATACTTGGAAAAATAGTTTTATGTTCTAAGCATACTGTGCAAAACGCACACAATACAACCTATACTGTGCCTGGACAGTGATGTTTTTGAAAACACAGTTTTCAATGAAGCAAATACTGTTAATGGAATACCAGCATTTTTCAACCAAATCTATATCTGTAGCACACAAATTCCCTATGATACAAAAAAAAACAAAAAAACAAACAGAAGCCATTGGGCAGTCAAAGGTATATATCACTGTTGTTGGAACAAAACCTTGTATCTTCAAAATGATAACTTTACAGGAGAAGGAAAAAACATACTTTTCTTTTAATGTAAGTCAATGGAACCAGAGGTTTTTTCAAGTAATTTTGGGCCGTTTCATTTTGTCTGTTCTTCATAAATTTTACACACAATGTAAAGGGAAACTGGCATTTTCAAATTATGTCAAAAACGGAAAAACGTCAAACATGGAGATACAAGGTTTTGTTCCGACAACAGTGATATATAAAATTAAGCTTTAACTAGTTTTGAGGTATTTGAGGTAATATTTTGCCAACATAGTAGTGTGGTTGGAGCTTTTCACATTCTTTTAACACATTCACTCATGTCTCATTCTAAATAACTAAATAACAATTTGAATGAGATTAGTCTTGGAGACATGAGGTAAATTTTAAATTGACATTTAGAATTAAATTGACATTTGTAATTCTGCAGATGCTCGTGTCTAGATCTATGACTAAAATTAAATCATGTTACAGAGGAAGAGGTATGCAGGAGTTAGGAGTCTTGCCTTCATTCATATAGGATTCATATAGTTATAGCACTATGTACTTTCCCAGGCTGTCACCCCGAAAAAGATACAAATATAAATATAATACAGAATATGAAATGTGCCATAATTTATGCACATGGCACATTTTATTTATTTATTCACTTTCAATATGTAAACAATATGTTAAACAGTCCTTGTGCATGAAAATGTGCAGATGTGTGTTCTCTGTAGAAGATGTGTTGATTTATTTTGACCTAAAAAAACAGCAAAACTTGTAATTTGACTGGAGTGCCCAAACTTTTGTGTACAACGGTACACAGTTTCGTCTGAATAGTATTTAAACGTTTTTCCGTGGAATTCAGCAACTGCCCATTGGCTTCTATTATAAGCGAGTTTCATGTCAGTTGGTTTCCTTTTTTTTTTATGAGTACTGGGAAACGTATCAAAATTATTTTCTGTGGTAATCAACTATACGATACAGATGCAGCAGATATAGATTAAGTTGAAAAACACTGAAGTGTTCCTTTAAGTTTGCCAGTCTTCATTCCTCTCAGTTTAATGATGGTTTATAAGCACTGATGAGCAAAATAGTCTTAATCTAACCAGATAAGCCTGGACAGGTGCTATAGAACAAAATGAAACATTTGTAATATTTGAATGTTAGGGGTGGGTCACGTCCTACGCTTAAAGGCCTCGCCGAAATGTCAGTATAATTTACAACCAAACAACCAAAGTGAGCTGGCTCACTGATTCAGAAGGAGTTACACCTGCACCTGCACTTACACCTGCAGTGTCATCAACAAAGGCCTTCTGCATTCTCTTTTCTCTGTTTTCATCTTAAAAAGGAGACTAGCATTTAAACCATGGAGTGGTGGTTTTCTGTAAATGCCATTAAATTATACACCATCTCTTTATTTGATAAAATGACACACCATAAACATGATAAAGTATGTCTTAAATTATAACTGCTTCACAAAAACCTCTTGAACCAAGAACTCCTGGACATTTGCAATATAACTTTACTATGCTAAAGATTGTAATGTAATATAATTATCACTTTACAATTATATTTGTCATCTTTTCTCTCAAGCAGGCAAAATATTTTGTTATTTTTGATGACATGTCATTAAATGTTGTACCAACAGTTATGAGGGAAAGGTCAGCCAGTGCTTTTGTGCGAGGTACGGGATTATAAGCCTGCAGCCGATGCTAAATTTCTAACCTTTATGTACAGTACGTGTTAAGACTTGTTTTCCATTTGTGTGAACATTTTGTAAATTAAGGTAACGAGCTTTTTAAAGTATTGTATTTTAACGCTTTTAGGCTTTTGTATTTGTAGGCTTTTAGACATTTTGTATAGTAGAAATTATATTTATACAGGAACTATGTGGAATTTGCAGGTTGTGAGTTGTTTTTTTTTTTGTTCACTTTTACATTAATTTCTTAAATCCCAGATTTGTGTTCAGCTCTCTTATCAGCATTGGACTTGTCTATCGTTGAAGAGAAAGTCCACCAACATTGGACTGTTGCATAATTAAATGGTCAAGATGTGAATAAAGTCATTCAGAGTGGTTTGATATGATGTGTATTTTTCTAGAGAAATATACTGATTCAGATTTGTTCACAGTGGCAGTGATGTTTAATGCCTTTAAAAGCTCCCACGCAGAAAGTTATTACATGAAATGTTGATGAATACATTGTCTGATTCCTAGAAAGTGTTTCACAATAGTTTTGAGAGATGACCAAAACGATATTTTTAAAAATGGTGGAGAGGTACATGTAGGGTGTTATAAGGCAATTAATACCCAAAGAAACCTTTTCAGATTTATCACTATTTTACTGTTATCAGCGTTGCATATCGCTGTCGTTGGAAGAAAACCTTGTATCTCCAAATGGTAACTTTACAGAAGAAGGAAAAAACATACTTTAGTTTAAATGTAAGTCAGTGGAACCAGACTTTTGTCAAAGTCATTTTGGGCCATTTATTTTGGTGCATTCATCTTGACATTTACACACAATGTAAAGGACAACAGGCATTTTCAAATCTGAGTCAGTATGTTTCTGTACAGTGTGTCATTTCACATAAAACCACTCTGAATTATTTTGTTTAGATCTCAACAATTGAATTATTCTGAATTTTAAGAAATTGGTGGAGTCCCCCTTTAACTGTAGGCATGTGGGTGAACGTTTCAGTTTGTCTGGACTGTATTCAGATTTTTAGCAGTTACAGTCGGTTAAAAATATTCATTTCTTCCATAATTCTGAAGTAAAGAGCACCACCTGGTGGATGTGTAGTGCTCTGCCATTTCTCTTATTAAAGTGCTGTTGGCGTTAGAGAAAGCTTTAACTTACTTTGTGTAGTACTCTGTTAAGGCAGTAGTTATTTGCTGTAGCATATTCGTACTGAAGAGAAAGAGTTATGAGATTGGCATACATGTGTGCAGAAAGGTAGAAGTGTCCAGTAAGAAGCTTTCTTTGAATGATTTGTGATGAACTTTGTCTTAAAAAAGTGAAAAAAGTTTGTATTTTAAATTGAACATCAGTACAACAATAACAGTAAAACATCTCAACAGTTTTAACATCTTAATGCTGTTTTAATTAACCGGGGTGCTTCAGTGCTACTGTTTGTGGGTGGATACCAAAACCAAACATGTTTCTAATTGCATCAGCACTTTCATGTTATGCATTTGTCTTTATACTTTTGTTGGAATTTTGGTGGTATAATTATATTTAATTCTATTTATAATATTGTAACTTTAATTATTGCTTTAGTTCGGTTCATATTCATGCTTTAAAGCAATGCAAGTCATTTGTGTAGCCTAATTTAATTTCAATAAAGTTATAGTACCAGAATCTGCTGGTCAGTAACTAGTTCTGCGGTCTCATTCGGTATCAACTCAGTCGCTCGCTGAGTAGCAACGGTGCACCCCTGCTAAGTAGGCCTATATTTAGACATTTACAGCACATGCAGTTCATCCGTGCTCATTTCAGAACAGATTATCCTACTTCAGTTTTGTAACATGTCTTTCCTTTTGGGCTTTCATTTCATTTAATGGAGTATGGTGTCTTTTTTTTTAAATAATTGTACACTTCTGTACATTCCTTTATAAGGAGTTTTGAGATCTCCAACCAAAATACTTTGGTTTTATTTTGTCTGTACATTATAAAGATATTTGACTTTACAAATATGTTAAACTTTTGATTGGCAGAAGTAGACATTTTCTGACCTTAGCTGTGTCTGTGTTTTTTTTTTAATGATGCAATGCAGATTTTTATCAGATCAAACATGCAACTACAGTCCATGGCCAGTAGGGGGCTCCAAAGACACATATATTGCCAAATAGATGGCTCAACAGAATGCCTTTCTGTATTGTTTAATGAATTATGATGCCAATAATGGACTCTCCTAGTATTTTATAGCAATGTGTGAACAAACTAAATGCCTCATTTTACTATTTATAACTCAGGCTGTCTATTTCAGGTAATGTATTCCACAGTCCTCAGAGAGGTCAGAGAGACATGAGGACGGTGATTCAGCAATCCAGTCGATTTCCTAAACCAGCTCAGAGCCCTGGACACGAACCTGGCTCTGGCGTCCCTTAGGAACACTGACACTATGTGGTGACACATGAGTTTGTGTGATTGATTCCAGCCTTTGCCAGACGGTGAGAGTCATGCATCATCATAAAGCATCAGTGAGAGGGAGAGAGATAGGGGGCCAACAGAAATAGAGCAAGACCTATAAAGATGATACATCATCTGTCTCGGCTATCGGAGAGCAGGTATCTGCACTTGTGGCTCTGCATAGAACAGTGCTCTGAAACATTTTGATCTGTGCGGACTGGCCAGGTCATATTGTACAGTACTGTCCGGTTGATCGAACCAGTCATCAAACACAAGGTCCTCAGGCTTAGATCTCTATTGACCCTGACCTTTAAAATGAATCTATATATGACCTTTTAACCATAGAGTGACCAGATGTCTCATATTTCCAGGGGCTCTACGGTATTTGAGCTTGATTTGGGTGTTCAGCTTCTTTATCAACCTTTTGTTTAGATGAGAATGTTTTGGTTTTTATTGTTTTTTCAATGCCACAATAGAGTCTTTACACAACAATCTCCATTTGGTCAAACACTTTGTAATGTTGGTAATTGGAGGTAAATGGCTTGATCACAGAACGCCATCAAATTTTTAAATACTCTCAAAAATTGCATTATTTCCCACAAAATGTGTTTTACCACAAGAGTTAGGCCACAAGAGCCCCAGTGCAAAAAAGGAATGTACACACTAACATGAAAATTCATTTCAATTAATAAAAAAATAACGAGGCCATTTGCTCTCTAAACATGTCACCCCACTAGCGTTCAACATAAAATGGCCAATATAACGTTAAAGGGCCAAATTCGCCTCACTTTTTTCCAAAATCTACCGTTTTCTCAGTCCATAGAGTCTATATATGGAAACTAAATTTCCTGTTTTGAATTCCCTGTTTTTGTGAAAACCAACTCATTTACACATATCCACCTTTTGAGCAGGTTAGCTCCACCCATACACACTGAAGTTATAAAGAATGTTTCAACCTGCACTGCTTTTTTGAATGAAGCACAATACAGGGCAGCCAATCAGAAAACAGCTCATTTACATCTATCAGTTTTAAAGGTACAGTAACAAAAACAGCTGATTTAATTCTACAGGATAAACAGAGGATAGACAATCGTTGTGTGGTCAATGGTTTTCAGTACATAAAACCACACAAATGTTCTAAGTGGACCTCAGGGTAGAATCAAAATACAAGACAAACGAAAGACTATGGGTCGTTTAACCTAAAGGTTTATGTCATATTTATCTGTTCCACAAGCCACTGGCCAAATAAGAAGATTACATACACCCAAAAACACTTGCTGTGTGGCATAGAGTAATATGTAACAGTTTACATGTTTTTGCTAAGTGAAAATAAGTTAAACATGCTCTACAGAGACACACTTCTGCACATGTTAATGCACAATTACTGTTCATTGACTGAAATTTACTTTTTTTTGACAAAACCTGCATAAGTTATGGTACATATTATAATTTAGGTTTTTTCCCCCAATATTTTAAACTCAGCAAATGAATAGAAATTGTGCACTACACGTCATATTTAAGTGTGTTCCCTGTAGAGGGTCTGTTAACACATTTTTACTTAGAAAATCAACAAAAGCACCATTATAATTGAAGAAAGCACCTGAGGGACTGTAATGACATAATGAGTCTGCACCTGCTTCTCCATGTCATCTTTACTATTCTACCTCCACTGAAACAAGCTGCCTTATCTCAATGGGGCTGCTGGCCTACTTCAGAGAGGCCAGTAATCATCTTTCAGAAGGTTTGGTGTCTGAGTGTATAATCTCGCTGTCTCTCGGGAAGGCGAGCGCCTTAAACTAAACACAATGCTGAATGCTTCATTCAGAGCAAGCTGTTACTCAGCACCTCTAGACAAGGCTGAAATAACAGGATGAGCTTTACAGCAGAATGAAACTTCATATAATTACTTTAAGAGGGATGCACCAATATGGGAATTATGGGCTAAGGCCGATATCCAATATTTTCTATGGATGGCTCTGGTTACATTACATTTTTTGTTGACTTTCTAAGTGAAAATGAGTGAACACATTGTCTACAGAGAACACACTGCACATTTTAATGCACGATTACTGTTTATTTGCTGAATTTAACACACTGGGGAAGAAAACATATTTCCCCCCAATAAGTTAAACAAATTGTGCAGTAAATTTAAAAGAAATATTTAAAAGCAAATGTGCAATCACATTTTCAGAAAAAATGTAATATTTAACTGTGTTGTCTGTAGTAAATGTGTACTTATTTTCACTTAGAAAATCAGTTGTATACTTTTAACTTTTGCATACAACTGTATACCATATGTGTACTAAGGCCCAATCATATTTCTTATTTTTAGCCCTACCCCTTGTTTTTTAGTGTCTCCTTGCCACTTGGAACTGAGTTACAAGGGGTGGTAGTTGAAATCTTCCCCTACGAAATGGGACCCTCAAATAAAGAAGAACATTACTTCATTATCAGGCTACTAGCACTGCTCTGTAGGCGACCCTGCCAGTTTGCAGTGGTAGCAGAGGAGGGCTTTAGTTACATTTAGGGCATCATATGTCTTTAAAGAGGGGGGATGAGACAATTATTTATTATAACCCAACCCTAATTCTTTGGTGATACAAAGCTGAAGTCAGCTGTTCAAGAGCTTCTTATTTGAATTTTTGTGTTCCACCTTAAATGGAGCAGCAGTTACATTCTGGCGCTTCAGGCGTCAATACTGCTGGACTATTTAAGGTGGAACTGGAAATTTAGCTAGCTAGCTACTGAGACATTAGCACTCCATTAGCAATTTTTATGCTTGTTATGAAGAAAAAGGACCATAATACTTTGAAACAACATTAAACTAAGACAATACAATTGTTATTGTATTTTTAATGGAGAAAATAATCATAATTGTGTGTTTCTTTGGTTGCTTGTGCAGGCTTCTTTCTTTTTTTCTCATAAAACTGCATTTGGAGTGAGCCTCTGAAAAACCTCCGTTTGGAGGGCCATGTAGCCCAAACCCTTCACACTATCCCTCTATCTCAACAAAAATCGGGACACCCTATCTCTAGACATGAACACACAAAACGGAGGGCTAAGGATTAAGTGGTAGGGGCGAGGAGTGAAATGGGATTAGTTTTAATAACATTATTTGTCACCTAGCAGTTCTGCAATGCTCGTATATCACTCTGTCCCATGCTTTCTTATTCTACTATTCTTATGTCTTATTCCACCAACTGTTGTCACTTATTGCATCCTATAGAAAGCATCAGAGATCAGTAAGCATTACATTAGCTTAAACTACTAGCTTAAAGTCAACTTGACATCCAAATGGACCTTTTTTACCTTAATTGTTCTGGTCATATTGAGCACAATTCATGATAATCATATAATTCAGAACACAAAATTCTTGCTCTCAGCTAGCTTAGAGACCCTCCCTGATACCATGTTTTACTCTGAAATACGTCATGATACAGAAGGAAACTGTTATGATTCACACAGATCTGAACCACTTGACTGACTGTCAAAGTGCTTCAAGAGTCAGAGGAGGAAGATCTCCCTGTAGCTTTAGAGAGATAGAGAGAGAGAGAGAGAGAGAGAGAGAGAGAGAGAGATCGACCCAAGGAACAAAGAGTGTGCCAGCAGTGTGAACAAACTGAAACAGAATCAGAGCTGCATTTCCTGACAAGAATGCTCAAAATTCAATGAGAATTCTATGTGAAAGTTAGCCAGACGTTTCCCAGCTTTAGCAAATATTCACAAACTACCACATCTACACACAGTCCTGCAGCACGTCCTCACTGCCACTGCACGAGAAACGAGTGACTGTATAATGCCCCCACATCCACACACACACACACACACACACACACACACACACACACACACACACACACACACAATCACTTTCTGTAAATATTATCAGGAACTGTTTTTTATCTTTTTTGCAACCTGATAGTATTTAATGCATTATGTTCTTGTTTCCTTTTACTTTAAATCATCCAAACTTGTAACCAAGTTTAAGAAGAGAAATGCACTATTGTCATACCTCTAAATTAGCCAGGATAGAGAGAGAGAGAGAGAGAGAGAGAGAGAGAGGATAAAGATAAAGAAAAACATACAGGGCGAATGAAAGACAGATGAGAGAGAGAAAGAGTGGGGCAGAGAGAAAGAAAGAGGGAAGCTCTAAAGAAAGAAAGAGAGAGAGGATGTGTAGAGAAAAGGATGAAAAAAGGATAAAGAGAAAGAGGCGGGTGAATAAAGACACATGGAGAGAAAGCGAGAGTGAGAGAAACAGAAAGAGTGAGTGGATAAGAGAGAGAGAGAGAGAGAGAAAGGATAAGTAGAGAGAAAGAAGCTGTCAAGAAAGAATGAGAGAATGAGTAGATAAAAAGAGGATGAAAAGAAAATGAGAGAGAGGGAGAGACAGAGAGAAGCTGTCAAAAAAGAAGAGAATGAGTAGAGAAAAGGAGGATGAAAAAAAGAGAGAGGGGAAAAAGCTGTAAAGAAAGAAAGAGTATGAGTAGAGAAAAAGAGGATGGTAAGAAAATAGAGAAGAGAGAGAGAGAGAGAGAGAGAGAGAGAGAGAGAGAGAGAGAGAGAGAGAGGATGAATAGAGAGAGAAGCTGTAAAGAAAGAAAAAGAGAATGAGTATAGAAAAGGAGATGAAAAGAAAGAAAGAGAGAGATAAAAGCGTAATTATCCAGGCGACCCTGTCATTGTCTACGTCACTCAGCCCGCATACTCTCTCTCTCTCTCTCTCTCTCTCTCTCTCTCTCTCGCTCGCTCGCTCGCTCTCTCACCAACACAAAGCTCTCGCGCTGCACTGAACGTTTGAACATTCTCGCGCACGGAGCTGCGTTCGCGTGGTTGGCGCGCGCATCGCTAACCGTCCGCCGAACAGAAGAGAACAGCAGAGCTCGAGACACAGGAGCGCGGGACGAAAGCGGAAGAATCGATAAGGCTGTTGTGTCGATATCGCCTGTTATCAGCGCCGTATTGATGTCGTATCGGGTTGTTGTTGTTGTCGTGAGTGGACAGCACTGAGCAGAACTGGGTTCACTGGACCCGAACCGCCTCACCAGACTTTGAAGCCGAACTGTTTGGTCTTCGGAGGTGAACTCCATCCAGCCCGAACTCCAGATGAGCGCGCGGATGAAGAGCTGCTGTAGAGCTCGGCGCGTCTGCTGCTCGCTCGGGTTCATTTCCTGGTGATTCCAGCCGTTTCTGAGGACTCTGAGAGAGACAGTGTGGTCACCTGGACATACTGTAGAGAAGCAGAAGCTGCTCAGGTTGCAGCGTTTCAACACCTTCACCATCATCACTCCTTCCGGCTGAAGCAACATGACAGTTTCGCACAAAGAGCTCGAGCCACGGTGAGCAGCAGCCTTTGTGTTGGGTGCAGCGCTCCGTTCTGTGGCTGGTTGATGTGGAGTGAAGTGTTTATGTCTCTCCAGTGATGAGAACACAGAGGGTCTCAGTGGTAGACCATCTATGGGAGCACATCCCCGTGCATCCCTTCACTGTTTGAGATGCTAAAGGAGGATTCTAATGGCTTTCCCAATCCAAATGTACCCAAATTTTCTGCATGTGTCTGCAATTGGGATGTGAAGGAAGTCATTCAGAGTGGTTTGGTGTGAAATGGTAGAGAAACTTACTGACTCTTTACAGTGGTGGTGATAGGAACCAGGTGTCTACAATGCAAATATAACCATTTTATTTACTTTCCAAGACAATCAGTGAACGTACACTTCTGAGCTTTCATATGCAGTGTTGATGATGGTAAAGTAGTAGCAAGTCTGAAAAGAAGGTACTAGTTTTTGCCTGTGTACCCCTCTGCCATGAATATTTTTTAAAAATACTTTTTTGGCTGAAACTTTATCTCAGAACTCTTAAGACAATCTCTTAGACATCACCCGATATATTCATAACCATTTCATTTAATAACTTTCTATAAGGGAGCTTTTAGAGGCATTTAATTATTCAGATGTTTGGTTCCTATCACCACCATTGTGAACAATTCTGTTCTCTAGAATGGCACATTTTGAATCAACCCGCTCTGAGTGGCTTAGTTTACATCTTCCCCATTTATGGAGAGAAATAAGCGGAGTTCCTCTTTAAAATGATGCATGTTGTAAAGACAAAATTGTATAAAAAGCAGAAAAAGCTTGTCAAAAATGTTGTATGTAAGCTTTCGGTCCATTTGTAAGTAGAAGATGAGATGTTTTCTGCTGCTTTGAATTCGTATGAGGTTACTGTTGTGTGCAGAGTTTGTCATATTTTTCATGTTTGACATATTTTTGTCACTGTTCGACGCGTGAAACAAATGACAAAACGTGTAATGTGTAGGTTAATTCATTATATAACTATGTAATTAATTATGTACTACACCTTAATTGCATGTAAGCAATTGTATGATATAAACTCAATGATGATTGAGGTTAAACTATTCTCTGAAAAGCTGTCATTCATAAAGAAGCCTGCTTTGTTGGGAGCACATTGAGCCGAGCAGCAAGAGCTTCTGCTGACTTATGCCGTCTTCCCCTTTTTTGGTAACAGGACAGGAGCAGTGGACAGTGGGCATCAGTCTCCTCCTGAATTCTCCACCGAGCGGGACGTGCTGCTGTGAGGAGGATGCGCTTCCCTCTGAAAAAGATTCGCAAGCAGTTCAAACTCCTCCTGCTCCTTGTGCTGCTCACCTTTGCCATTGGGTTCACGTACCTGCACATCAACCAGGGCAAGGCCATCAAGCTCCACTTCAACTATGGCAAAGGTAAAGGATATAGCAGCTGCTTCACTGAATCGAGCTTCAGTCACTAGAAAACTCACACTGAGGTTTAATTATGGCGGGTAGAGAGGTGGGCAATAGGACAATATGCTTATTGTTATGGAGATGACGTGCATTACAGTAGGCTTTTCTGAGTGTATTGAGGGTTTCGACTGTGTGTTTTATTAAAATGAATGCAAAATGCAGACCTGTTTAACTGGACGTAATGTGGTGCGGTATGTGAAATGTGAAAAAAAAGGTAGATTTGTTTAATGTGGCCATACTGGTGTATTTTGTTAGACCTCAAAACTACCTCAAAGCTAAATACTATCATGTGTTTCATGATAAAGTCTTCAAGTATATTAATTAGCACTGTCAAATGATTAAAATAACTAATCATGGTCAAAATTCAGCACGTTTGCCATACATTTTGTTATAGCTGCAGATAGTTATATAAAAAAGTTCAAGCACCCCTGGTCAAATTTCATGTTTTATCCATGTTGATTTCTAAGTGATATTAAGTGAACACTAGGGCTGGGCAATATGACAATATATATCGGTATCGTGATAACGTCACAATATAACAATCTGCTTTTCTGAACATATTGTGAATATCATCAGTACTTGTAGAAGACTGACCAACTGCCTGTTTTATTATAAAGAAAGCAAAATTAGTCCGGATTAACTGGATTTATTGCAACACAGTGAGCCAGATGTTTAAAAAAACTTGCGTTAACAGTTTTTGACATTTTTTAAAATGTAGAACTACATCTGATTCAACTGATGAGATGTGTGTAAAAATAAATATTGCGACATATTGTGTATTGTGAAAATTTATTGAAGTATCACAATATTAAAATTTTGCCATATCACCCACCTCTAATCCACACATCTTATAGGTAGAACTTACAAATTACATATATTTCTGCAAATGTTAGTGCAATTTCTATTTATTTGCTGTTTAACATTTGCTAAGTTTGCAATAAATTGAACATACAATATAAAATATATGTAATATCTTTTGCGCAGGCCATGTTTTATGTTAAATTCATCAAGAAAGCAGTTATTATGTAATTAAAGTGTGTGTTATCTGGAGAGTATTTTCACAATCAACAAAACATTTGAACAGAGCTCATTTACATATATCAGTCTTGAAGGTAATTCTGTAGGATAAACAATGGTCATTGGGCAATGCTTTTCAGTACATAAAACCACACAAATGTTCTAAGTGGACCTCAAGGGAAAAATTAAAATACAAGAAAAATGAAAGGATAAGGGCCCTTAAACTTAAAGGTGTACGTGATATTTATCTGTCTGACATGCCTCTGGTCAAATAAGAAGGTTACATAGATTCCCTATTCCCAAGAACCCTTGCTGTGTGGTATACATTTGGATGAAATTTTTTCCTGTTTTGTTGATTTTGAAAATGAAAATAAGTGAACACATCCTCTAAGAGAAGTTAAGTTTAGTGCTAAGTTTAACATTTGCTAAGTTTCCAAAAATTGAACATACAATATGAAATGTGCCTTATCTTTTTCACAGGCCATATTTTATGTTTTCTTTTTTCCCCCAATATGTTAAATTCAGCAAATAAGCAGTTATTATGCAGTTACAGCGTGTGCTCTCTGTAGAGTATTTTCACTAACAACAAAACATGTCATTTAAACAGGGGCACCCAAACCTTTACACATGAAAAAGTTTTGTACATGAAAAATATTAGATGTGAGCATCAGCCTACAATTCCCATATCAGTGCATCCCTAGTCCTATGAATTGCTTGGCTAACTCAGTTGTAGCTAACTTGTTGAGGAACTAACCTTGAAGTTAACCTTCACTTTTTATCTGTTCCTCACAAGTTCATCAGAAAAAAAACGAAGTAAGAATGGCCTATTAGAGGTCGCAAATAGTCCAGCTTCATGATGAGTCCATTTGTACGACAGACAATATATTATCAATTGATTTGACATTTCTTGTGAGCTTGATATCGATCAGGTGAGCAGGTCAGCGAGGACGATGGAATTGTACATTGGATCATCCTAAATTACTCCAAATGAAGATGCAGCTTGGGCTTTAATTACTTTCCTTGTCTGCTTTCAGCAAGTCTGATCATTCTTAAACCAATTTGTCTTGTGGAATATTGTATCATTTGTAGTGGAGATAAGACTCAAAGACCAGCGAGGCAGAAAGTCTTTTTCATCTGTGCTCTCTAAACTGAAATGAAATTACTTTAACCCCTGGGCAGAGCTTAGATACAATTCTTACTTCTGTTATGAGTGTGCTGCCAGATAGCACTTAAGAGACAAGATATTTCATTCTTTCATAAATCTGCTGAGTTGTGTATGAATGAAAGTGGCAGGTTTTTGCAAGTTCTTCTCTCTTGCGCGCTAATATAAGTGTGGATGTTTGTGCCAGGGTTCCACACCCTCAGAAATAAAGGTAGTAAACTGTCACTGGGGCAGTGCCCCTCTTGTCACTGGGGTGGGACCTTCAAGGGTACATCTCAGTACCTTTAGTCAAGGAACATAATTACACCATAAGCTATTGAATTATGTTTTCTATGTTGTATTGGCTCCATACACCCCGTCTCATCTCCAGGCTTTTTACTTTATTGTTCTGTTTTAAAACATTAGATTATGAAAAGGTAAAAATATGTACTGTTCACCTGGAAAAACTTACTTAAAGTACACAATTTGATCTTAAAACCACTGTTGAACCTTTGAGGGAACATTCATGTTGTTTGTCCCTTGATGAACGAGAAACGTACCTGGACAGAACCTTTATTTCTAATAGTGCACTGATATAAACATTTTGTGACCGATACTGATTTCAAGGAGCTGGAAAACTGCATAACTGACAATACCAGCCAATATTTTGCAGTTTTATTTTAATTTCCAGCAGTGCTTTACTGATAGACATGGTTGCCGATTGTCACAGTTCTTAAACTTAAGTAAAGGTTATAAATACTTTAAATATTCTGGCACCTGTGGTGGAGCTACTCAGAAATCTTTGCAGTTTTGTTTTCTGTTAATTACCTCCTATTTTTCCAGTTTTTTTGTTGAAGAAAATGTTTGCTGCATAATGTTATTTCTGTGCTGAGCTTTTGGTTTGTAAACATTGTGAGTGTTGTTATTCTAATCATGATGGTGCTTTGTGCAGACTCGCCAGTTCAGCCTGTATTGCTGTCAGGTAGTTAAACAGGGGGTGACTCACACTGCGTTCCCCAGTGACACAGCTGTCTAAGATTGTGCCCTGTTGTCAGGAGCTTGTGGTTCGAATCCTGGTGATGACACAACCTCTGACAATAGTCAGTAAAAACAGATAATCTGTACAAATAGATTATTAGTACAGTTATGTACTGCAGACTAAAACCAAATATGATATTAATAGTACAAAAAGTTTTGTACTGAGACTGATTACAGTGCTAATCTAGTGCACATTCACACAGCGTGAAAGAGAGACACAGACAGAGACACAAAGAGAGAGAGAGAGAGAGAGACAAAGACAGACAGAGACAGACAGGGACACAGAGAAAGAGAAAAAGAGAGAGAAAAAGAGAGAGGGAGAGAAAGAGAGAGAAAGGCAGAAAGAGACAGAGGGAGAGACAGAGGGAGAGAGAGAGAAGGACAGAGAGAGAGTGAGACAGACAGAGACACAAAGAGAGAGACGGAGAAAGAGCAGGACAAAGAGAGAGACCGAGACAGACAGAGAGACAGAGAAAGAGCTGAACAAAGAGAGAGACAGATAGGCAGACGGGGCAGAGATGAAAGAGAAAGACAGACAGAGAGAGACAAAGAAAGAGACAGAGAGAGAGAGACAGAGAGAAAGAGAGAGGGGGGAGTCAGAATGAGAGAGAGAAACAAAGGGTGTCAAAGACCAAGAGAGTGAGGAAGAAAGGAGGTGAAGAGAAACAAAGAAAGAGACAGAGAGAAAGATAGGTAGAGAGAGAAAGAGAGACAGAGAAAGAGAGAGAAAGAGACAGAGAGAGAAAGACAAAAAAGAGAGACAGAGAAAGACAAAGAGAGAGACAGAGAGAAAGACAGACAAAGAAAAAGAAAGAGAAAGATAGGCAGAGAGAGAAAGAGAGATAGAGGGAGAAAGAGAGAGAAGGGGGGAGTCAGACTGATAAAGAGAGAAACAAAGAGAGAAAGAGAGACAGAGAGAAAGACAAAGAGAGAGAGACAGAGAAAGGGAGAGAGAGGTGAGACAGATATAGACAAAAAGAGAGAGTGAGTCAGAGAAAGAAAGAGACACAGAGAGAGAGGAACACAAAGGGAGAGAGACAGCGAGAGAGACAGTCTGCATTTTCAAGTAAGTTAGGGCCGTCTGGTTTCTCATGTGAGGCTGTATCTGTTTTGTCTACGTACAGCGTGCACAACAGAATCTCACGTAAATCAGTATATCTGCTCAAACGTCACCACCTGAGCTTATAGGGAACCTGGATTACACTAGATTTCTCTTATCCCAGCGTTATTCCAAGCTGTTTACCTCGAAAACTGTGAAAGAAAATGCACTTTAAATATGTAAACCAGATGGACTGACACCTATGTTACACTGTTAGAAATAAAGGTACAGTGCAGGTACATTTATCAACGTTTATCAAGGTACAAAAAATGTAAATGTTCCCTCAAAGGAACAACAGCAGTTTTAAGGTCCAATTGTGAACCTTAAATATGTTTTCCCAGGTGAAAAGTACGTATTTGTACCTTTTCATAACCTAAAGTTTTAAAACAGAACAATAAAATAAAAAGCCTGGAGACGAGACAGGGTGTGTGAAGTCAATACAACAACAAAGATATAATTTCAACGGATTATGGCACAATTATGTTCCCTGGCTAAAAGTACTGAGATATACTCTTGAGGGCACCATCCTGGTGGCAAGAGGGGCCCAGAGACAGTTTAGTGCCTTTTTTTCTGAGAGTGTAGTATATTGGCCTGGATTTAGTATGCACTATTTATGAGTTGTCACACCTCAGTTTATGCTGGTACATGATTTTAACATGTGAGAAT